GCGTTTTGTAGTGTCTATAGGCTTATAGAAATGTATAGAATTGCTTACAGATGTGCACAGAATTGACCCATTAGTCCTATTTTCGTTAAAAAAAAAATTAAATTAATTACCTATTCCTGAAAAGCGGCGACAGATAGGTATAGGAAAGTATTAAGAAAAGTTGCTCATATATGCCGAATTCGAAAATTTAAAAATATACAGGGTGTTCCATTTAAAATAGCGATGTTGCTACTGGTTTAGAGTAGAAGCGGCAACACCGCATTGTCAAAAATATTTTTAAAGGTAGATCCATCATGGTCGTTTATCCCGGTTTCCAAATGTTCAAAATGATCCGCTATTTAGTTCTCAATAAACGTCTAATACGCCATCCACCGTGGGACACCCATACATAGGGTACAATACCTATTTAGAAGTACCAGTTCTTCTAGTGACTAAACGTATGTCGCTTCTTGAACACACAGATAAAACTAGGTATTAGCAATCGACGTTCGTTTTTGTTGGTAATTTTTTGTTTTATCTGATTCGTGATTGATAAATAAGGATGGAATTATTCTAAATGAGTATTAAAAATACTATAACACTGACAACGACAAAGCAATCGTTCTCATGAGAACGCTGTTCCTCGGATTCGAGAATAAAGTCCCTGCTGAGTTGCTGAGCCCGCTGGCACCGCCTGATTAGTCGTGTTCTTTCTACCAAGGATCTCACTTATTCTCATTTCACTTCACTTACTCACTTACTTACATATGATTTACTCAGATAACCTCACCACTTTATCCAAAATGAGATGAGACGAACCGTAGAAAGAACACGCCTAATGTACCCATATATTAAACGATATATCGATACGTCCGCGATGATGGAGCACATCGATACAAATTTGTCATATCCATATGACTTTATATAATTTGTATGTAAGAATTTCATTTGTCATTTCATTACTGTCAATAGTTTCAAGAAGGTGGGTTCTGCTTGCGCACTCCGTGCCCTCCGAGTGACTCCATTCGCACTCCAGTCGTTCGGGCATTGCTTTTTGGCGTATTAGGGGTGACTCCATTAGCGTTCGACTATACGAAGTGAAGTACATGGAGTTCACTCCAAAAGTTCCACCTCGGAGAGAGAATTTTTTAAAGTAAGCATGCGCAGAAGTGAAATGTGGAAACTTTCAAGCTTGTTGTGTTGTGGGGGGGGCCAGCGTTAATCTGCCCCCCCCCCCCTAACGATCGCATCCCCTGCTATTTTCGCGGGGGTTGGTGCGCTAGCTTTCTGGCTAGCATTTTGAGCAAGAAAAATTAACTGGGGGGGGGGGCTAGCGTAAATCTGCCCCCCCCCCCTCCGATCTCATGCTCTACTATGACCACAGGGGTTGGTGCGCTAGCTCTCAAAAGTTGCACGCTAGCCTGCGCTAGGTGTCCTTATTCTGTGCTAGCATTTTGAGACAAAAATATTAACTGGGGGGGGGGGGGGGGGGGGGGCTAGCGTTAAACTAGCCCCCCCCCCCCCCGATCGCATTTCCTGCTATTTCCGCGGGGGTTGGTGCGCTAGCTTTTAAAAGTGGTGCGCTAACCTGCGCTAGGTATCCTCCATCTGCGCTAGCTTTATGAGCCAAAAAATTCAACTGGGGGGGGCCAGCTTAACTGAGACTGAGACCTCATATCGCAAGGTCTGTATCTGCAGTGACAACAGTGAGGAGCAGAGCAGTAGCGCGATACATTACTGAATCATGAGTGGTTTTAGTTAGCTCGGCTTAGAGTAGAAAAAACATTTTGCAACTAGCGGAATGCACTACTGAATCCTAAATGAGTTGAAGCTGCACAAAGGCTTCGGAAACGCTGGAAGCAAAAAGCAAAATTGAAATTGTCTAGATTTCCGGACACAGAATTGGCGGCAGGCAATGAAAGGGCAAACGAACTGGTCATGAAGCAGGAACACAGGAACCGTAGAAACGCTAACGCTCGATGAAGACAGAAGATAAAACTTTTGCGCAAGGTTGAAATACAAGGAAGGAAGCAAGCTGTGCATATTCTATGCCTCTGTCCAGGCCTAGCGAGGGGGCCAGGCCTGTAGCCAGGTTTTGATTCCAGAGGGGGCAACCAAACATTTAGAGGGGGCAAACTTATTTTTATTTTCAGCATTACTTAAAATGACGACAAGGTACAAAAACTTTATTCGCAAAAGTACATAATAACTGATTATAAAATATAAAACCCTAACAAAACACGAAGAAATAATAAAATTACATGAAAACGCACTTGAAGGGGCGTTAATGACATTAAAATCTGTCAGTTCTATATCTATGGATTTTTTAAAATTCGTCTGCAAAGAGAAAAAAACACTCACTTCAGAATTGGCTCAAAAGTGGCATACATTCTTTGATGGATTATTTACAATCCGAATATTTTGGTTTTTTGATAATTTGCGTTATTCTCGAAATGGTGTATATCTGGGCTAGGACTCTGTAACGAATAGAGATTTTTTCTCTTTTAAGGTCCCCTCTCTATTAATTTCCAAGAGAGGGAAGAAGATCTCTATTCATTACAGAGTCCCAGCCCTGGTTGCCTATAGTCGTTATGGATTATTTCTAAAATCTTGCAAAATATCGAAAAACCGAAATATTCGGATTGTAGATCAAATAATGTTTATGCCAATTTTGAGCCAATTCTGATGTGAGGTTTTTTTTCTCTTTGCAGACGAATTTTAAAAAATCAACCAACCAGAGCACAGAAGTGATCAATGAACTATAACCAAAAACTGGAATGCTAACACATAAGGACGAACTTGAAGCCTAGTGCGGCTGCTGCGGAGGGGATACCTGTTTCTGTCGCACTCATTATGTTAAATGGCGAAAATTGCTTCCAACACGTATTCCAATTGATGAAACCTGTGAAGGGAAATATGACAAAACTTTCGAAAACGTCATATGTCAGCGAGCAACAGAAAAAAACAACATTCCTCCTTGTGGCATCTGTCTTTCATGGCTTCATTTTTTTGGCAGATATGGCAATGTGTGCGCATTCCAGTTTTTAGCTATAGTTCATTGGAAGTGATAGATTTCAAATGTTATTTATGCCACCCACCTTAAGGTAAAATATAAACTAAATTGTGGTTTTATAAACGGAAAACGGTCGCAGTAAATAGGCGTAAACTTCTTCAAAATAATTGGAGTTTATAAAAGCATTGATAATATTATCCGGAAAAAATAGAAATTAAATCACATAAATTTGAATTTGCTTTGTGATTACATGTAATGTTTATTTCCTATATTATACAGTGACCGCCAAAAAGTTTGCAACAAATGGGAAAATATTTTATACCCATCAACAAAAAAAAGCACTGTGACAGATGTCATGTGACCACAGTTATGGCGGGAAATTTAAAAAGTTCGCCTTAAATATGTAAAGAGTGGGGTTAGATGACCAGAAATCGAAAAATTGTAGAGAGAAAAGTGGTTCAGGATTCGATTTTACGTCTATGTGTGAATTTTTAAAAAGGTACAAGGATTTTTAATAAATATCAATTTTTTGGCCTGTTTTCTGGTGATAGGACTACGGTGGCTGAACGTTACTTCTCGCATAATTAGACATGATGTTTTCCGCGTTTTTATAAAAGCAGAATAAAACTCAGGCACTTGCGACAAACGTACCCGAATCTGTTAACTTGTATCATGTTTTATATATTTATTTGTATCCATGCTCTGTCTGTGAACCTCTCAGAGTTTTCCATGCGCGCTATTAAGTCCTTTCAGAAAGGGAGTTCTTTGGCGGTTTTATGAACATATTGCGAACATTTAAACTAGTTAAAACAGATCTGACTAAAATTCACTTAGATTTTAGTTTGGTTTATTAATTCCTCATAAAAACATAGAATTTATTGATTATTAAAAAATAAATCATCTAAAATCATTAAAGAAGATAATGAAAATTTTCCTAAACTTCATTCCATCCCATCTGTCTACGGATAAGCGGCGAAAGAGAGATGAAATACCTTAAATTTTTTATTAGTTTGCCGTTTTAGCGCAAACAGAAGTTATGTAAATACAAAAGCGAAGCTGAATTCTTACAAGTAAATTAAAGTCAGTTTCTATAATGAATACAATTCAACAAAGAGAGTTAACTTGACAATAGATTAATTACTGTTTCTATAGCCAGATGAATATTTAAAATATCCAAAACGAATATACACAATGCTTGAATTTAGCTACTGCATACAGACAGCGAACATTTAAGGTCTGAATTGCCCCAAGGGAGGATGTTAAAAATGTTCAAAATGAACCTCCCCTCTTGTCTGTCTATATCCTCCCGTCTAAGAATTGAACGCGATGTATAATTAAGCGCTTTGTCGAATTTAATTTATAAAGCGAAACATTTTTCAACTTTAATTTCGTACAATATCTGAGCCATATTATCAATGTACGAATTGTGTCTTTAAGTAATTTATTCTAATATCGCAACCCAAGAAATTAAAAGGAAAAGTCAAGTCGTTTTGCTTCTGGTTATTTAGTTAAAACGCTTAATTTGATGTGACATTCCAGGAAAAAGAAACTGGCACTTCTCTGAATTACACTACTAAAAAGCTTCCTGGAAAATGTTAAGCTTCCCCATTCAATGTAGAAAATCACTCTGCGACGTTTACGACGTGATTTTAAATTAAAATTTACATGAACAGTCTTGTTAAGTAATTTTTTTTTACAAGCAAGATTGTTTCGGGAATGGAAATCTTGAAATATTCATTATTTAGGTATATGTTACGTGAATTCTCAAGAGTTTTAGCAATACTAAAATAAGTGTACAATTACATTCTAAATACTTTTAGGGGCCAAACTAAAAAATATATATCCCTAAAACTAGAAATTTGTATAGGGAAAACGAACCTTTTCTTTGCGATAATAGCAATATAAGCATGAAAGTTGGTTTCGTATTTTCATATAATTTATCGAGACCATATCGCATATCAGTCGCGTGAAACACTTTTTTTTTCAAAGCTACGAAAAAATAATTTACCTTATCTGTGGAAACAAGTTTTCCTTTTTTCTGGTCATGTTGCTTCTGAGTGGCCTGAATGAGTTGCGCCTGCATCTTCGATACTTGCGTTGATCTACGCCGATTAGTCATATCAGTATTTGATAAGGATTCTTTAAATCCCAGCTCATCACCAACACTGAAACCTGAAAGATGAAAAATAAACAGGAATGGGCTGTAAAATAAATAATTGAGTAATAAACATATCATTATGAACCTAGGTGGTAGCTACTTATATAAAGCTATAATAATAATAATAACCCCAACTAAAGTAGAATCTGATATAATGATGGAGCTATGTTATGCAAAGAAACTGAAAACTATTCATTCGTTGAACAAAATTAGTCTTAAATGCCTAAAACTATACCATCATCAAATGTAAGTTTGTAGTATTTCTCAGAATTAGAATTAATATTTCAATGAAAAACAAAATAATATCCAAGTTTGAGTTTTTTTCAGCCAAAAAGGATAAAGCAAATGGGAAATGGCAAACAAATTCTCAAACTTGGGTGTTAGATTGTATTAGCACAGCTTGTATTAGGCCATTAGCTGTATGTTAAAAATTGATATCGTGGGATCACAAAAAATCGCTTTCAGGCACTAAACAAACACACTGTAAAGGCGGCTGCATAATTCTTTCTACGCGAGGGTTTGTGCCAGGAAGGACAACAAACAAGAGGGATTTGCATCTCTCTCTACACTATGGCCGCTATTGAGAACAGCTGTTTGAAGTGTTTGGATCATTGAGGTTAGGAAGATGAAGAAGCTCTTCTTCCTTTAACATCAACCGCAATGAGTGCAGGAAGACAATAATCCCTCCGTATTGCTGGGTTGCATACATCAAAATTTGGCACACTAGCATAAAGCAGTGCGCCCGTTCCCAGAGTGTTTGTTTAGTTCAATGCTTTCAGGTCTTTTTTTTAACGATAACTATTTATCTGAGAGAAGGAGATGAGTAAGCGGCGTAAAATGACTAAAACGGTTCTGGTTGATTTTATAGTACGTAGGTACCTCTAGAAACTAAAGTTATATGTGGAAATTTATTCAAAACTTTAATCAATCACGGTTTTTCTGTTAGTTTATAATAGGTATGTTTTTGTCCGTGCCCAAGTTACACCATCTAAACGTTAATATCAGACCGTGAATGAGTTTATACATCATTATTAGTTTTGTTTTCCTCGAGAACATGCTTTATGGTTTTTAAAAATGATAGTTGTAGAATATTTGCTGTTTAATGAATATATCGTTTATTATTATATCATTCGTTGTCATTTATATTCTTCTCATTCAATTTTTCTTATAATGTCCATCCAATAATTTTGTAGACTATAATATGATCTTAGGTTCACCTGCATTCTTTGAATTCGCTGGTTTAATAAATAAGGTCTAGGTCATGAAGTTAACGGCTTGGGCGTTAAGCTTTGAGCGCCAAACTACCATCGAAAAGTTTGAAGAGAACTGAGATATGGAAATCGAAAATCACCCACAAATAAGAAGGAAGAAGTTGAGGCCTTCTAATCAGCTACAAACAACCACCAAGATGATAAGCCGTTGAAGGACCAATCACGGAGCATCCCCGAACACTGCCAACTTCAACCACCAACAACACCCCTGAAAAACTACTTAGCGTGGGATCACCAGCATAGTTGATCAGTCGGCAATGAAACACAACATCAAATACGTTGTCCCTTGCGTCATCGCCTTTAATATTGCCTACCGTAGCTGCAGAAAAAACTTCAGGATGGAATACCTGCGGTCCACAAACTCAGAAAACATAAGCTACATTAGGGTAGTATTCAAGTATTTAAAATATAATAAGGATTAAGAGGTATCAATTGGAATCAGTGTACTACTTAGATTTCCGCTCGATCTATTCAGATGTCTTTTATCATGTTTGATGTGCTCAATTTTCTCTAGTAGCTCTTTAATTGTTATACATATTTTCATTAATCTTTTGGTGTACATCCGTTTCTAGTCTTGAACCTTCTTCCTATTAGGTATATCTTATTTTTGTTCCGCACTGCTCCCTAAAAAACTTTGATCATACTTGTATTATGACTTCTTCTCGCATTCAGTTTTGCTTTTAACCTATCCCGCATCATACAGAATGTCGAGTAAAAAAGTTTTCTAGGCTTAGCGTACGCCGAAGGCGCAGGACGTATTTTAATAAAATTGACTCAGCCTTACTTTACTTTTGCAAGCCGTGAACTGAGAGTAGAAATCAGTGACCAATAAAAACTGAAAATGGAAAATTCGCATTAGGTGTAGTCGTGGGTAGAATATAGTATACTCTGTTTCCTTTTGCTTAGTAGCACAGGGAAAGGCAAAAAAGGGTCGAATACCATAAAGCGATCATGATCCATAAACGGCCATAAGACCAAGGTAACTTTAGGTTGGTTATTATCTGATGGCAATTCAGTTTAAATTTGGCACTTGTAAGTGGTGTTTGCATATATAGTGTGAATTATTGTTAAAATGCCATCAGGCTTTAAACCGGTATAATGTAAAGGCTTAATTCCAGCGTCAGGACTATAGTATTCAATGTACATGGTGCACTGGTGATCAGATGCCTTTAAATACTATCCCTTGTATAGACTCCACATGTGCCAATATGAGAAGGTTTATTGAATCAATAAATCTATAGACTTCTTAGCGAAACAAAAAGTGATAACTGTGTGAAGTTGCCTAAAAGATCGCCCGGAAGAAAAGCATTAGAAGTTGATCAACTAGCAAGAAGTATAATACGAAGAAAAGTACTTTCGTTTTATTTAAATAAGGAGATCCCAACAATAGATAAAATATTAGCAGTAATTAGGGCGAACGAGGATATACCAGACATGGGACGAAAAAAATTGTGGAAGATATTACACGAGTTAAACTTTTGTTTAGAGAAGCAGAACAGAAAATCGATTTTGATTGGCAGAGAAGAAATAATCTGTTGAAGAGGACAATATCTAAGAGATATTAGAAATCCCAAAATATCAGACTAGGCCCTTGTTGAAGGCACTTACAGGCTTATCACCCTATTGTATTCAAGCCGGTACCGGGTGTGTCGGTGAAATATTTTTGAAACTATAGGTTTATGCTTCTGTTACATTATGTATTATATCTACAATACTCATCCTGTTTTCGACCCTTTTTTTGTGTTTTTGAATTCATAGTGAGGTGCAGTGCTCTTAACCAAAAGAAAACAGAGCATACATAAATCGAGAAGCAATTAATTAAACCTACGCACTCAAGCACTGTCCATTCAGAACCTTCATCACGTACTATTACCAGTATTACCAGTATTACCAATTGTATCAACTCATATAAAAGGACAAAAACATTTGTGATAACGCTGCGTATTTTGAAGGCCTAATGAAGTATACCTTATATCTCATTTTCATACAAAAACCCAAAATAAAAGAAGCATGAAAGCAAAGTCTAAGGACTATAACTAGATTTAGAAGAATTTTTCTTTACAAGGTTCCAAGCAAAAAAATTGGAAAAATTATGCTATAAAACATATACTTATACATAGATATGATGATAAAATGCAATCTGTTCCAAAAAGAATAGTCAATAATTTTTAAACATCAGATGTTTAACTAGGTACTTCCCTGAAAATTTTCTCTTTAACCAGTTACAAAACATTGGTAGGCGGATGTAAGCAATAATAAAATAAAACAGAAAATATTTTAGATTATTAGTAACATTACTTTTCTATAGCCTACACAGTTTGCGTGCAAAACCGTAAAATTTCCTTATTTAAAAAAATTGGCCAATTTAGTTCTAAAACCAATAGCTTGGGCGAAGTGTGTCAATTTCCAACCAACCATTATTTTTATTTAAAAAAGTAATATAAGTTCTGACAGATTTATTTTATTTGTTATGTTAAATATAAAATTATTATGCATCTATACACTGTCTAACCTTGATTTGTTTTTTTTTTTATGACAAGAACGCTCATAATTTTTTACTAGAAGTAATTAATTTTTAATTATTAAGGTTACCATCGTCTTTCTTCAGGCAATTTATTATTTTCAGGGACAAAGATTTGCAGGAATATTAAATTATTGATTAAAATTGTTTTACTTATTACTTAATATATTTTTTTTGCACTGGAAATTTTCAGACATTGCAATTATTAAATAAGTAACTACATTTTCCAATGTTTTTTTTTTGTATTTTTGATTAATTGGGAGAGTTTATATTAAATTTGTCTGTATTGATAAAAATGGTTAGAGAAAGTTGATGTTATGCCATTTCCTACTGTTTCATCAGGATCTTAATTTGGTAACCTATACAATATGTTTTATTAAATGATTATTCACCTTCATCTCCTGACAAAACTAATATGTGGTAACAATATTCTCTCATTATAATTTATGTAGTTAATAATACAGATGAAAAAGAAATTAAAGTTTATGTTGGAAAATGATAATTCCACGCTAGGCGCTATATTTGATAGGAGAAAAACTGTAGATACCTACGTAAGTATTTAGTGGCAAATCTAATGATATTTATGGAAAATACATAAAAATTGATGTTAAGATGAACGAATCATAGAAAAAAACAATGAGGAAGTACAAAGCTAATTCAGAAAAGAAGTAATCACACTAGAACAAACAAAAAAATCGAAGAAAAGGGAATCTGACTGTGTGTACTGTATCGAGTGATCGCCTATGATGGCTGAGGTTCTCTCTTTCTGTCATAAACGTAGGACCGTTGATAGGTTTGTATGGTTTGATGGTAGTAACTGTCACTAAATATCACGTTATCTCTTGAATTAAGTAGTTTTTAATAAAAATTATGTGATATAGACAAAAAACATTGCAAATCGTGATAACTGTTTTTTTTTTTTTTTTTTTAATTCAACTATAACAATTAATTATCTAATATTGAATGTATTTTTAAGGCAAATGCAAAATCCATCAAATTACATACCATTAGAAAACGATATCGAGGGCAAGGGTTAATTAGTCCGGGCATTTTGTAGGTTAAATAAGCTGAGCAAAATTTTTGAATACTGATTTTCCCAACTGTTGATATTTTAGGTATTTATGACTTCTTAGAGAAAATAGAAAAGTCATCTATCAATTTGCAAGACGTAGGTATGAACCTACTTGGAAAATATCTATACATTTTTTCTCCACAGTTTTGTCGAAGACCTATATATACTTTACTTCTAAATACCTTTGAAATACATGATAATATATTGAGCAAAATGGCATTGAGAATAACAAACAGCAAACATCTGATAGACTTTGATCTGATGACCCTGACGGCTGAAAGTCGATTGAAGATAGATACCGTGTAAGCACTTGTGTCGAGCAATATAGTTTAAGGAGGTCTATCTATACCCATCGATCATCAAACGCCGTCTACTATAATATAGATCAATAACCACAACAATTTGCTGAAAAACTTGATTGGCTCTTTATTCACACATAGAGTAAAGAATTCCTGCATATTTATATTTTCTTGACTTACATCGACTACAGTTAACACTGCTTCTCCGGAGCCAATCCCGGATACTGGGTATGACGCACACAGTCGTGATGGCACAAAAGTAATCGTAATTTGCCTCATAGTCGCTATACTATTTCAAAATAAGACAATATATACATCCAACTCCATGGTCTATCTTAAAACGTTGTTTGAAATAAATAATTTCCTTATCCATGTATATCTCAAACAACGCTTGCTCAACAAGAAGCGATAGAGTACTTATAAACAGGGTGTTCCAGCAGAAACTATAATTGGATAGGATATGTTAGTAAATTTGTTTTGATTTTTCCTTTCTATAGGTACTGATATATTGATTGATATTTATAGTTTCTGATGAAATACTCTATATTTAACTCTAAAAATACTATTTAAATAAATGTGCATGTAATACAATTTCTACAGACAGTGCCAAAGAATGTTAATTAAAATCTAATGAAAGTTAAAAATATGATAAAAATAATATTATAGAAAAAGGAGAAAGATTTACCCAGGCCAATGTGAGCTTTTAAACCACCAAGATTTCTAACTCGAAAAAGTCCACTTTTCTTAAAAGCACAGTTCAGTATGAATCCAAAATCTGATTCCAATACACAGGTGGATCGGCCATGCCGGAAAATGCCGCCTGCAAATTAAATGTTTATTATTTTAACTTCTATCTACAAATTCCAAATCCGAATATTTTTTATAAGTATTATACAGAACTGTGTCTAATTATTATTTTGTTATACTCATTTATAAACAATTATTTACATGTTTTACATAGCCAAAAAATAAATATCTAGGTACCTAAAAAAATTATTGAAGGAAAATCATTTTTAGCAAGAGTATATGAGGGGTTTATTGCCGGCTTATACTTCCAATGAAGTAAATTAAGAAACAAACTGAAAATTAACCTGATGATTTTTGATTTTTTAGTTCTATTCAAGATCACAGTAGTCATTGCATTGCCTTGCATGCCAATATCCTCATTTTGTCATGGACATTATTCATTTTGAGCTTAATATAAAGAAAATCTTATTAGGATAAATTATAGCAAAACAAAATATGAATTGAATCAGGTTAGAAAAAAAGCAGATAAAATAATAAATTATATAATACCTTATTAAAGCATGTCCTAGACCACCGAACCTGAACGAATGAGTAGAACCAAAGAATATGTAGAACTAGAAAGATCTTCCTTATTCTTGATTCTTAGTTGAATGTTGGGCAAATTTGAATTTACGGGTCAATTCTGTGCACATCTGTGAGCAAATCTATAACTTTCTATAAGCCTAAGACACTTCAAAACGCATCGATTGGATTGCCAAACACTCTAACGGTAATATTTACGATTCTATAAGATTTTTTGTAAGCTAGAGGAAGTGCAGGCAGAATTGCAAATTGTCTATAGGCAGCTACAGGCCTATAGAAATTTATAGATTTGCTTACAGATCTGCCCAGAATTGGCGCGTTAATTTAGTTTATTTTAATTATGAATTTAATTTTATTCGAGGTGTGAATGACGGTATGAAATTATGAAGAATTAATATCCTAATTTTTTTTTCAATTAAATTAAACTAAAGTTCGCCTTACGAGTCTAGCACTATGGAAAGAATGCGGATAAAAAAAATTGCAATATTGCCTATTTGACTTCCAATAGAAAATACATTAATATTTATCTATGTTACACCCTACGTTTGTAGGGAAAAAGTAATATTTAAAAATACTGCGCGCACGCCTATGACAGGCAGCATAAAGCTTGAAATAAATGGCATTATTTTCAGACGTCGTAATGCTAGACTCGTAAGGCGAACTATATGTAGTTTAATTTAATTCCTAATTTTGAAGTATAATCCGTCTATTATATTTTTGACAAATCTCACAGCTTACGTAATTACAGCAAAGTTATCCACAACCAATATAAGGCACAACATCATCATAGTTAAGGCTTATTTTTCATTTCCACAGAACTACCTCATAAAAATGTATTTACAGTCCGACAGACCAAAATCGTCGCTGTCGCTGTTATGTAGGTGCCTACCTACTAAATAACACTATTTCAAAAGAAGAGAATTTACTAGATATATAATTCATAATTATGATATATTGCTCTCATTGTTTATTTGTATAGATAACACTGCTATGTACATATGTATCCATTTATTTTATTATCATTATCACTCCTAGTTTAGATTTCATTCTTAAGCCAAGGGTAGATTCATAATATTATGGCTGTGTTCTTTTATAAACTGTCAGTAGGTACTGTATTCGCTGGAAAGTGTTCCAAAATTAAAATTCAGTATACCGAATTACTGAAAAAATGACTATGACGTCACCAATACGTCACTAATTTAGTACTGCGTTTGCTGCACATGGGAAGCTACTGTTATCCAGTAAAAGTGGTGGGGGTGTTGGTTTTTTTCGTTCTGAATGAACTATTTCCATTGGTTTTTGCTGGAATAGTTATTTATGCACTCGAGGAGTCTTCGGAAAAATCAGACGATGATGAGAAAATGAAAAACCAAATAAGGCAATCCAAAACATAGATTCAATATGGCGATATAGGTCAAACATCTGTCATCCGTGATGTGTCTTTCAAAACCACGTTTTAATAATTTTTTTCCTCTAAATTGCGATTTTTAATTGTTGTGAAGCATTTATTTTTTGAAAAATGTCTGCAATATGGATTGTAGTTGCTGCGGAAGCCGTTCTTATCGTGATTCGTGATAAAGTCTCGTTTTATGTCGTTCCTGGTTCCTGGAGAGACAAAACACTGTTTTTTAATGTTGAAACACGATTTCTCTTAGAGCTTATTATGCCTTTTTTCGATCATTCGCAAAAATGCAGGACTACCCAAGTTATTTTGTTAGTTTGAGTTTTGTTTACTTAAAATCATTTTTAATCCTGAGTAGTGATTTGGGCATATTGTTTTAATCTTAGGTTTTACGATACAATTATTGTATCTAAGCATTTAACTTATTTGTATGGAAAAAACAGTTTTTTCTACTGTCAAAAAAAGATGATGTTTGCACACTGGTGACAATTTGCGAAGTGACACTTTTTTTTCTGGTAGATTTTTTTCAACGTTCGCATGACGCCGTGCGCGGAATGATTCTCCAGTGTGCGAAATGCCTATTTCGCGCATTAAGTCAGGTAACAAATACCTGACAGGAAACCAAAAATAATTAAAATTCACCTGCCTTTGATTGTAAATGCAATTTTAGCTTCGATTGATCGACATTTAAATGCTGGAGTTGTAGAAAAAATATTGTTTGCAACTCGTGCTCGAAATTTTTTTGGTGAACTCGAACGATTTTTTGACTCCGCTTCGCGTCGTCAAAAAACTTCCGTTCTCGTCAATGACATCACGTCATTACAGTGAAATGTCATTGGTTCTCGTTCACCAAAATGACATTTCGCCAACTAGATACAAAACTAACTATAATGACAATAAAACGTCACGGTTGGGTTGTCTAAAGGTGAATGAAATCCTTATGGCGCCAATTTCATTGTTTGCCCTAGGCCACCATATTGATTGGATTGCCCTATAATAGTAAGGTTAGCTTTTTCATTCAATACTGGAATCCGTTCCAAAATCAACCAGTAATACAGCATACTGGTTAAAAAAAAAACGACGATTTTCAGTAAAAACCGTACAGCAGAAATCAGTACTACCAGTTTAAAAAAGAACAGAGCCTATATTCGTAATGCTCAGCAAATTCGAGACAAGCTGACATTTGGTATGGTACCTACTTTGTTTAGAAGTGTTGAAAAACCCGAGTACGTGGCTTCAGCGTTAGAGCGTCGTTATGGAGATCAGCAACGACGGCAGCTTTACCAGGTACAGGTAAGAACAAGACAAAAGAGAACTGTGAAGAGTTTGAAAGAATTTGAAACCGGTAGCCTCAGGATAATCTGCCCTACCCGGAACTCTCAGCCGAAAATTTCATCAATGGAACTAGAGATATGGATGTACAGATAATGCGGCCCATAACCAAACAATTAGTTTGCAGAGGAAATCTAATCAAAGGTCTAAAAATTGAGGCGGCCTATGAAATATAGGAACCAAAAATCAGAGCATTGTCAATACAAGAAGAAAAAGAACCACTAAAGAAAGAAATTATTAAAGATTCAATGAAGGAACGTCTGGAATTTTATTGACAGTCATTATATGATTTCAGCCAACAATAATTTTAGTTTTGATATTTAATTACAGCGGGAAGTATAGGTAATGTGACACTTCCCACCCTTCAAGTCAGTTATGTCAACAATAATTCATATTTGACTGTAACTAAAAGTTTTTACCAGAATCGGTCAAGGGAACTTGAAAAGGAGCAACGAATGTTACTGCTGCGAAATAAAACGAGTGAAATCTCAGTCGTACTTTACAGTCAAATATGGCTGAGATCTCGATCTCCTTCAGCCACCAAAAAGAGAGCCTTTAATGAAGAAGTTGCAACAGTACGTTTTTCAAATCGAATCTCTAGCTCTCCTTCAGCTGACTTTTAGCCCTTGATAGAGAAGTTGTTATAGTTTGATTCACAAATCAAATATCGTTCTGGTAAACTGCAGAGCAACGCAGATATTTTAGCCAGGCGATCATGCCCTAGCTCAACGCAAGCACTGCCTGAGAATCTATCAGCTCGGAACAGTTTCTGTTTGAAGCCTTCGAGTTGATACGGGAAAAATCCGGTAAGCGTAGAAAGAAACCCCGTAAAAAAATATTGGGTTAGTTTGAGTTAGCATGCCATGGGATACCACTGCTGATCCACAAGCTCAATATTATCTTGCAAACAGAAGGTCTACCGAATCCCACAGTGGCGGATCCAGGGGGGGGGGAGGGGGCGCGCCCACTCTAAGGCTCAAATTTTATGATAAATTTTGAACCGTTTTGTGGCTAGAGAATCTAGTGACTTTCTCAGTTTTTCTCTATTTATTCTTGAATTCGAGATATTAACCAGAGTCCGATTGTTTTGATGGGACATCGGACACCCTATATATTAATAACTGATTGGATAGCTCTGCTTTTGCTGCTTTCAATGATATAAAGTTCGATAGCTCTTTTCACGTGGCTCAGGTTTAACAAATCGCAACATACCGCTCAAATTCGAGTGGTATCGAAGATGTCACTTTGTAACCGGGTTAGAAAACGGTATGTCATTTCTCCAACCGCCTCGGCGATATGGTTACGTCGAGAAACACCCTCTAGCGACAAAACAATTGAGGGTATCAAAAGGCGGTTTGCAATGTTTGCACCAATCAAGATATCATTAAATTTGAGCCTCAGCAGACTGGAGAGTTCATTTTTATGTATCTGGCTCAAAAATTGACGTTTCAGATCAAAAGTGTCCAAATTGGACCACCCTGTATCTACATTCTTTAACGTATAAGTAAAGTAAAAATAAATTTTCAAAAAATCATTGTTGATAATTCTTAGCCCCTGAAGAAAATCCTGGATCCGCCACTGGAATCCCACGATGAAGGATACTACGACTGCTGAAAGGGCAGATCGGGGCGATATCATGAGTGAGTTACGAAACTACCGCGCCACTGTTTATGACCAGAGCGCGAGTATCCAGGAATCTCATTTTGTGATTCACACAGATAAATGGGATCCTGGATATATATCGATTGAATGTACAACAATAATTTCAAGAGGTATGAGATTTTATGCAAAATTCACCTTCCCCTTGCAACCCCCCAGCCATCAGAGGTACTCCCGACTGGTAAGGGGGGTCAAGTGGTACATCATCTAATGGGTCTTTTGGCCCTTATTGAAACTGACAAGTTTGAACTCTCTGCTGTCAGCGCTGGTGATATGACAACTTGTCAAAATCATGAAGAAAGGTTTTAAAAGTGTATAAAATAAATATATTCTATTCAAATTACTTACATAATATTTCTTCTGAAAACCTGGAAAATCGTGTAAGCAAAATATAAGACATTAAAAAGTCTTCAAGTCCCCATAATAGACCATTAAATTTTGTTTGTTTGAGTCAAGTGGTTTCTATCAGTTTTTATTATGATTTCCATTGCTGGACCCCAAATTGGGTTGTCTCGAACGAGGGGGTTTAAAATTGAACCCAATAATTTTTTGCAGAAAAAACTTAGATAGGTGTATATTATTTATATTTTTATTAATCAATTTTTGAAAATTTTAACTTTGGAATAAATCTCCGCGTCAAAAATAATGCAAAATACCAGCATAAAAATTTTCACACAATGGTTATGGCATCTGACAATTGACGAACTCAATTTTTTTTTTTCAATAAGTTGCATAAACGGGATTTTTTTTTTCAACATTTTCATAAACATTATATTGAGAAGCTGTTTCTTCTTCAATTTTTTTATAAGTATCCGAAATTTTCAGCTCTTCCTTCACTCATGTAAATCGATCTCCAGTGACAAGAAATACGTTTTTTGAGTTCTTCTATATGTGTTTTTTGTGATTAAGATAAATTGGAATCACTAAAAGAATAGCTGAAGTGTGCCCCAACTCCTTCAAATTTAGTACCTATGCAACATTTTAATTAGGTGTTAATTGAAATTTTGTTTGAGAGATAAGCATGCTTTTAGCAATTTTTTTGAGAAAAATGTCGTCATTGCATTCAGGGAATTTTTTACAGTATTTTGCATTTTCTTCGAAGCAGAGACTGATCGCAAACGCAAACTTTTCAAAAATATATTTATTTGAGAAAAACCTATCTTGCTGACTTTACATACATCGCTGATTTAGTCTATGCGACTTTAATTATAATCAAATTAATAAACCCGAAAACACCCAAAAAAAATCCTATTTTGGACGCAAGAACTGAAAATCATCGTAAATATTTATTTGTCTAAAAAATATATGAAATATTTTCGAAAATATATTAAATATGTTCAGGTATAGTAGGTATATACATATTATCGAAAGAACTGACCATAAAATGATGATCGCCTGTAGCATATTTAAAATAGCTACAGTTCGTATAAATTATGGGTGGCTCAAGAAGAGATATTTGGACGATTTGTAACACATACCCACTAACCTAGTTTTGTGTTTGATCATAATGAGCTGTATGTTTTTTTTTGAAAAGTAGTAGAGAACATAACATAAAATATCAAAATATATTATATATAATTAACGTATTGATGTCTGAGGTATTATCATTATTAGTTCAGAATTCCATAGAAAAATATACAGGAAGTTGATCAAATGATGTCTCTGAATTATAATGACCATAATGTCTTATACAGTATTTATAGAATCGCCAAAATATACTTTCCAGTTAGGTATTTAAAGAAATTCGTACCCAAAGCACAATGATTATTCCCGTATCATATATGTTTGTTGAGCTTTCAAAAGGTATGAATGAGTTTAAAAACTGCAGACTAGTGAATAAAGTTGTTATTAAACTTTTGAGTGTAAAAAATGCTGCTATTACTATTACACAGAGATATTACTGTTTAGTTTGCGTCGTAACAATATCATAGGGAAGTAAACTGCTCGAAAATTGCTTTCGAGCAAAAGGAAAATTTCGCCTAACTTTCAACCTCGATATATTCCGAACCAAAATATCGACTTCTGGTTTCCATGAAGCAATTTTTTTCACAAAAAGTCAATCTGTCAGCCCGTGAAAACCGGAAGTCGATATTTGGTTTGGTTCAAAAAATATTGAGCTTGAAAGTTAGGCGAAAAAGTGTCCTTGCCCGAAAGCAGTTTATGATTTTTCATTAATCTGTTATCATTATTGCTAGTTTTTTAACAAAATATTTTATGTGGGCTCTCGTTCTGGGTTACATTCAATTTAAATATTTTTTTTATTCATGATTATAATATTTGGTATTTTGCTGATTTAGGCAGAGAAAATATTGAAGCAATGAAAATATGTTTACCTAACTTTCAAGGTCCGTATTCCCTTGAGCAATTTTCCTGGATTTTTTTTGGCTCGTCATAGGGAAGTGGGAAGTAGTGTTGTCCAATTAGCAACTATTAGTTCAGGCACAAAACTCCACCTGGCGTTTTGAATTTTTATTCGTATTTCAAGAGTGAAAATGGTCGTTTTTCAGAAGAAAAAAAAAATTGCTTTTTGGCTAATATTAGGTAGGTACATAACTACATAGGTTTATTTTAGAAGAAGATTCAATTTATTATGTTAACACATTCTTATAGGCACAACTTCATAGATTTATACAAACGAAATATAATGATTTACTTATTGATTCCAAGAATCAATATTAGGTAACTTGGTAACTATACCTGATCTAATTTCGCTAATCAATTTATTAGACGTGTTTACAAGCAATAAATTTATAAACTCACCAAATATGGTTATAAGTAAAATAAGCCTCATGTATTTCATTTTCTAGCTTGCTCACTTTAATTTTTAAAAAAATGTTATCACTAACACAACACTTAGAAAAAAATAAAGATTCGAAACGGATCGTGCGCGCGGTCACTTGCGCAAAACGCATTTATTGTTGACCAGCCGCTTAAGCTGCTAAGACTAAAGAAAGGTGACCTAGTGCCATGCCAAGTGTTTCTTGACTTTACTGACTAACGGTATCAGTGATAAGTAAATTGCCTTTACCTTTCTGATGGGAGATCCCATTAATGATTCTTTATTAGCGATATTGTAAATTACCTTAATGAAATTTCGCTTTTGTATATGTATGCAGTTGCCCAGACAACTGTGGATGTGAGTTAGTTTTGATTAGTATTGAGAGTTTACTTTTCAGATTTTTTTTTTTTTTTTTTTTTCGCTCGACCGAATAATTTCATCATAAATTAAGCCTTATCGTCTAAGTCCGTTAGCTAATTATTCTGATTATTCATTAAAATATAGGTAATAATTCATTGAAGTAAACCATAGGTACTTAAAATTTAGGACAATGCATAAACAATATGCTCGCAAATATGTTAACCGTTTTGGAAACGCTGTTTTAAATAAAGTCTCAATCTACTGTTTCTGTGTGCTATACTTGGGTATGACTACAGGATATGATAATTATATGATACCCACCGCCATCCGAGACTTCATTACAGGTGCCTGGGTGAAAGTGGAAAATAAACACAAAAACTGTACTAAGATGTTTTTCCTAAAAATGTCCGAAAATAACGAGGACAAAATAATTGATCATCGTAAATGTTAAACTATCAATGTAAATTTTCGTTTTTTTTTGAACACCCCTTATATGTTTTTGCATTTATATAGATTTATTTATGTATAGGTATATCAGAAATCCCTATGTACCCACTTCTTACTTCGGATTTATTTATTTTTTACGTAGAAGAGGCAGAAATAATAAATGCTTTATTTATTTTGTGGATTTTTCACGTAGTTATTATTTCTCTCCAAACAATATGAGAAAATTTAAATTTTACTGACTCCATAGGGACGAGAAAGTAGGCGTTTCTAAGGATAGGCCTGCAAAACAATCAAAAATGGCTAGACAAGAAAATTATTTTTTACTTTTTCTAATAGAGCCCTCTATCTACAATTATTATGAATATGAAAAACTACTATGTATATATTTTTGCGATACCTAATGATTAAATTTCAATTCAGAAAAAGCTGTGTTCGTATTATTTATTATTTACCTACCTGATAAAATGCTAGTACTTATGAGAAGTAATTTATGAACTAAATGTTTAATATAAAATTTCCATCTAATATAGATTTCTGCAAAAAGTTGACACACAAATGACTTGAAAAAATATTTGAGACAAGATATATGGTATTGAAAAAATATATATATACCCACGGATAAGTTAGTTTTTTAAATAATTTTCTCAATAATTGTTGTCATTGTTGAAATCGTAAATCTATCGTAAATAGTTTATCTATCGTAAGAGAGATTGATTTAGCCGATACTGGATTTAGTCTCTAGCAAAATTTCGAAAATCTAAGGTGAAGCTTTGATGAACTCATGATTTTCTGAATTTAGATGTAATGCGTAGGTACCTACCTAATGTGAAAGAGTGTTATTTTATAAATTTAAATGTTCCACTATCAACAGATAATTATTTACAAGAAGGAGCTCAATTTAATTAAACAGATTACAGTCAATAACGGATTTAATGTTACTTTGGTAGATAATTTAGTTAAGAAAAAACCTTATCAAATAGCGATTAACTTGGTCTATCCATCATCCAATAATGTATCCGACCAAAAGTATAAATCTATTACATATACAGGTACTATTTCCAAAAACATCTCGAAAAGCAAGATAAAGACGACTTTTAGAACCAATACCAACTTAGGTACGACTTTGCCGCAGATTTTGAAAATTTTGCACAAAGAGAATAAAGGTGGGTTTAGCCAACTCTTAATGGATAATGCACAATTTTAATTCATAATTGATAATGTGTAATTCATAACGCATGAGAGAAAAGAGGTGTTTATACAACGCATAATTTTTGTGCATTAAGAACTGAAAAGACAGCTGAGTTTGAAACTTGTTATTTTTCATAAAATAATAAATAATTAAATAAATAATAAATTAGGCTTTATATTTTTAGGAAAAATCCCATTTGTATAATTAAAAACGGAAACACTCGATTCCAGATAAAAAACCGCTGAAAACAACAGGAAAACAGTCAACAAGATTTCGAGGTTATGAAGCAAAACCAAAACAAAAACAAAGTTTTTTGCACAATGCATAATGGATAATTCGTGAAAGTTAAAAGTTAGTCAACTTTATGAATTACGCATTATACACTAAATTATCCACTATCCACTATGCGTTGTATAAAGTTAGTGTGAAGTTATCCATAAAATCTCAGCCATAAAACTATCGAATCGCGGTTAGGCCTACTTTTTACTATACCGGCCGGATTCTCATATATCTAAGGGCTGTTTGTGCCATATTAGAAATAGCTATGAATGTAAGCCACTACTACTAGCGATCAACCAAAATTAATTTTGTATAATGCTCCGCCGTCCGAGTGTCTCAAAAAAATTAAAAACCCTAAAAAGTGGTGATTTTTATCAATTTTTGATTGTAGTCTCCACACGATGGTTTGTGCCGCTTTGAAAATAACTATACATTATAGCTACTACTCCTAGCAATCAATAAAAATTAATTTTGTGTAATGCCCCGCCGTCTGAGTGTATCAAAAAAAATAAAATCCCTAAAAAAGTCGTGATTTTTGTCAATTTTCGATTGTAGTCTCTACACGGTTGCTTGTGCCGCTTCGAAAATAGCTACATATTTTAGCTACCACCCCTAGCCATCAAGAAAAATTAGTTTTGTGTAATGCCCCGCCATTTGAGTGTCTAAAAAAAATTAAAAACCCTAAAAAAGTCGTGATTTTTGTCAATTTTCGATTGTAGTCTCTATACGGTTGCTTGTGCCGCTTCGAAAATAACTACACATGTTAGCTACCACTCCTAGAAATCAAGAAAAATTAGTTTTGTGTAATGCCCCGCCGTCTGAGTGTCTCAGAAAAATTTAAAACCCTAAAAAGTCGTGATTTTTGTCAATTTTTGATTGTAGTCTCTACACGGTTGCTTGTGCCGCTTCGAAAATAGCTACACATGTTAGCTACCACTCCTAGCAATCAAGAAAAATTAGTTTCGTGTAATGCCCCGCCGTCTGAGTGTCCCAAAAAAATTAAAAACCCTAAAAAAGTCGTGATTTTTGTAAATTTCCGATTGTAGTCTCTACACGGAAGCTTGTGCTGCTTCGAAAATAGCTACACATGTTAGCTACCACTCCTAGAAATCAAGAAAAATTAGTTTTGCGTAATGCCCCGCCGTCTGAGTGTCTCAAAAAAATTAAAAACCCTAAAAAAGTCGTGATTTTTGTCAATTTTCGATTGTAGTCGCTATACGGTTGCTTGAGCCGCTTCGAAAATAGCTACACATGTTAGCTACCACTCATAGGAATCAAGAAAAACTAGTTTTGTGTAATGCCCCGCCGTCTGAGTGTCTGAAAAAAATTAAAAACCCTAAAAAAGTCGTGATTTTTGTCAATTTTCGATTGTAGTCTCTACACGGTTGTTTGTGCCGCTTCGAAAATAGCTACACATGTTAGCTACCACCCCTAGAAATCAAGAAAAATTAGTTTTGTGTAATGCCCCGCCGTCTGAGTGTCTCAAAAAAATTAAAAACCTTAAAAAAGTCGTGATTTTTGTCAATTTTCGATTGTAGTCTCTACACGGTTGCTTGTGTCGCTTCGAAAATAGCTACATATTTTAGCTACCACCCCTAGCCATCAAGAAAAATTAATTTTGTGTAATGCGCCGCCATTTGAGTGTCTAAAAAAAATTAAAAACCCTAAAAAAGTCGTGATTTTTGTAAATTTTCGATTGTAGTCGCTACACGGTTGCTTGTTCCGCTTCGAAAATAGCTACACATGTTATTTACCACTCCTAGGAATCAAGAAAAACTAGTTTTGTGTAATGCCCCGCCGTCTGAGTGTCTCAAAAAAATTAAAAACCCCGAAAAAAGTCCTGATTTTTGTCAATTTTCGATTGTAGTCTCTACACGGTTGCTTGTGTCCCTTCAAAAATAGCTACACATGTTAGGTACCACTCCTAGGAATCAAGACAGTGGCAATTGCCCCCCCCCCCCCCCCAGAGCATCAACCTTTTATTCCTTTTATTTATTAAAAATATAGCAAATAACAAAAAATATTTTTTCTCTAATCGCGTGCCCAAAGTAATTACTTTGCACACTCATCTGCGTGTGCAAAGTTGAACTTCGCGCACGGAAACTCTTTACGCACTCATTTTTGTTTCGCATAATTACCGTATTTATACACAAGATAGGCATTCAGGTAATGTTTAGCTTTTTTAATTTGCACTTATCGTATGAGGAGCGAGGGGAGGAAAAATCCAGCAAAAATAGGTGTTATATCAGGTGACCATTGGCGTGGAAGCCACTAATTCACATTCCTTCGGAGTATCAGATCATAAAAGTTCGACAGTAAGTTATACTCCTCCATTATACTTCTCAACTTAATGGTGTTGCGGAAAAAATGAATCAAACACCAATGGACAAAGCAAGATCTATGATAATGCAAACAAAAACGGATGGGATATTTTGGGAAGATGTTGTACTTGTTGCTATGTAAAACTAATTTAAAAAGTCACATGAAAAAATATTATCGCAGGTAAGTTTAGACTCAAAATTTGGCAGGAAAAACAAATTTTAAGTAAACCTCGCTAGCACAACCACTGTTGCATATAAAGTCGCAAGCTGATCCTGATCACTGGAAATAAAAAAAATTGAAAACACAACACATTGAACTAAGAGAAAAAATTACCAGTTTTGAGCATCTGGAAACATTAAAGAAGATAATGTACAGCTCCTCTGGATGCTATGCAAATCTTCAAACACTCGTAGAAAAAGTATTGTTCCTAACACTTGATGCGCAAAGTGTCTTTCACGCACTGAAAACTTTATCCGAACTCCGCTTTGCGTACGTCGTTCATCTAACTGCTCTTTCGTGCGGGAAAGTAAGTATCATTTTGCGCACTTGTTAGGAAAATAACTATTTTTATGTAGGTATGTATTACGCACCTTTGAATTTAACTTTAGTTTAGTTGTGTGTTTTGTGTTATAT